TACTACTACTACTAATAATAATAATAATAATAATAATAATAATAATAATAATAATAATGAAATTAAAGTCCTGGATAAATGTACGTCTTTGCAGAGTTTTTCTTATTCCAACAGCACCATCGATCATCATTATCTTTAACATTTCTTCATTTCATTGCCAGCAGCTCCAATCAGCGGCTCCTCTCCGGGTTTGGGTCAGGCAGCGGGCTCTGATTGGACGCCGGCGCAGGGCTCCGCTGTCAGGTGATGCAGCTCCAGCCACTGCTCTCTTCCATGTCTCCTCCGTGTGGAGAAATCGCTGGTCTCTCAACCCGGATGCTGTGCCATAACTATTGATAATTTCGCCCAGTGCGCAGCGCTGTGGGCAGAGCAAGGGGGCGGAAATCTCCCTGTACCCTTGAAGCGGACAGCTCCCAGCGGATACACACGCTCCACACCGCCGGGGCTCCTTGCATCCGTACCGGGGGAGGGTCAGGTGGAGCCGCCACGCTAAAAGGGCTCCTGCAAGAAGATCGTGACCACAGAAAAAAAAAAAAAAAAGGGGGTGAGGAAGGAGGAGGAAAAAGAGGGGAGGAGAAGAGCATCAGTACAGAGAGAGAGATGGCGGAGTGCGGGCGGAAGGCGCTGTCTCTCCTGGAAGCGGCCCGCTCCCGGTACGAGAGCCTGCAGATATCCGACGACGTGTTCGGCGAGTCCGGGGATGACAGCAGCGACAATCCCTTCTACAGCACCTCCGGAGACTCCGACTCGGACAACTACATAGCCGAGGTAGGCGAGGAGGAGCAGCAGCAGCATCAGCATCAGCACCACCACCACCACCAGAAACGGGCTGAGAAGGAGAGCGGGCACAGCGGGGGAGCAGGTGGTGGCACCGGCGGGGGCAGCGGCGCGGCCGGTCCCCCGGGCTCCCTGTCCCGGAGCCAGGCAGAGGAGGAGGGCTGGACGGAGACTCTGCAGGATGTCACGGTGCCGCCGTACAAAGAGACATATGGTGAGACGTGATGCACGACAAGATGAATAAGGTCATTTGTGCAGCAGGGGAGGAATTGCCCGTAGCTGGGAAGTGATTGGAAAAGACAATAGTGCAGGTTTTTGCCCCAAACAGCTCACAAATAGGCTGTGATGCTTGTTTCAGTTCCATCTTGTTGTGTGTGTGCGTCCTCCCTGTGCTTGGTGTGACAGAGAGAAGCATGACACTGCAATGTTAATTGCTGTATTAAGTTGATGGCAAACGTTTAGCCTTTGATACTTCACCCCTTGGTGCTGTGCCACACATGCTGCCTTGTGTGTGCTCATGTTGCAGGGAGACATGCTGTTTCATTTAGAGAAACAGCAGGATGTCCTCCCAGCCTCTGCACACATATACATGCACATGATATTGTGTATGTATGCAGGAAAAAAAAAAAAGCACAAATCATGATTTTGGTTGCACACTTTCACTTGGATTGTTTGTATGTGCAAACAGGAGACGTGTGTGTGGTAGTTGGATAACAGCGTGCACCCACACTGCTCTGTCTTCCATCCTGTCAATCTGTCTGTCTCTCAAGTACAGCTTTTTTTTTTTTTTAAATCTATTTATCCATCAGCAAGTCCAGGAAGTGGAGCTTGGGTTTGTAGTTTTGCTTTGCTTGGATTTGTCCCCTTCCTGTAGTGTTTTCTGCCTGAGCTGAAGCAAAGGCGATCGGTGGGGATGCCGTCCTGCACGATGCAAAAAATATTTTGTGTATGTATGCAGAATAAATGCAAGATTTTTCTCCCAGATTTTGGTTGCACACATTCCCTTCCATTGTTTGTGTGCAAACAGGAGACATCTGTGCAATCGTGACAGTCAAACAACAGCGTGCACCCACACTGCTGTCTTTCTTCTTCTACCCTGTCAATCTGTCTGTCTCTTTAGTACAGTTTTTAGATCTATTTATGTATCAATAAGTCCAAGGGGGTGGAGGTTTTGTAGTGCAGTACCTTCTGTTAGCCTTTTTTTTTCTTTCTCGGATTTGCCCCCTCTTTCCGGTGTTTTCTGCCTCAGCTGAAGCAAAGGCGATCAGCTGGGGGGTGCCATCCTGTATCCACCGTGACATGTTGCACACTTGGAGGTGAACCAGCAATATGGTTTGGAGCAGATATGGAGCAGAGCGAGCCCCAGTCTGCTCACACACAACCCGGGAACTCACTTGCACAGTTCGATTGAAAGCACCAGCGCAAAATTAGATAAAAAATGCTCGGAAAGTAAGTGCAGTGCATTGGGTGTGTGCAAAGAGGATTTGTTCTGCAAGCTGCTCCGGCGTACTCCTCCTCGGGAAGTTAAAATAAAAAGAACACAAATGATTGGTTTTTGATTGTGTGCTGTTGGAGCTGTGAGGTTCAAGCTGGTAGAACAGGACACAGAAATACAGAATAGCTCTTTTTTTTGAGGCCTAATTATTCAGCTAGATTCTGTAATCCTTTGGAAGAATCCAGCCTGAGGAAGTAGCAGTGCCTGTTTTATTCATCCCAAAATCATTTCTGTGCTTAGCTGGGGTACCACAAGAGGCTCTTCGGCGAGACAAAGACCTACAGGATGTCTTGTACTCACTTCCTGTACTGTCCAGCTCTATTTGGCTGCTGTTGACTTAAGCTAGGGCGGCAGCAGGTGTGTCTGTCTTCTTTGCGTAGTGTGTGGTCCGATTTGCGAAAATGCAGCTGGTGTCTGTTTGCACAGCGAGTACGTGTGTGTGTTCCCGTCATCCTGTATCAGGGTTGAGATGATTAAGAGCTGCCTGGATGTAGTACCGCCAGAGAGCATAATCACACTTCACACCTCGAGTAGCCAAGACTGTCCCCAGATTTAATCAGCCTGAGCGGGCGAAGACCGTCTCCATCCTGAGCATCAGCATATCAACATAAATACAGTATGTGTCTCCACAGATTTTAATGGCAAGGGGGAAGCTGCATAAGCCAGATGAGGTTTCCACTAAGCCTGATTGTGATACTCAGTGATATTTTTATCACGTGTCTGAATTTCTCTACCTTGCCCGCCTGTCTGGCTGTCTTTTTGTCGCTCGGCCGTCTGTCTCCCTGCCCATTTCTCTGTCTGTCAGCGTGCTGACACAGACACACTGTGGATGTGACAGCTCCACTCTTTGGACATTGTGCGCCCCGTACATAAATCATCAGCCGCTGTCAGAAATCATCCAATCAACCTCGCACACAACTCTCAGAGACTCCGTTTGTACCTACGGCAAGCAGGTCATCCTCGAAACAGGTGCAGGGTTTTGCAGCCATGCTGGCTTTTTGGCTCGCACAAAAACGCGGTTTACACAAAGTCGGGTCAGTCGGCGGTGTGTTATCTTGGTGGCAGCGTGAGGCCGTTTCCTCCCGCAGTGTGAGTTGCGAAGGACCAGGCCGAGGATTATGAAGCATACATCCACATCTTAGATTATATAACCACCTTATCGTGATGTTGAAGGGAATTAAAGAGCTATTTATGCATTCACTTTGATGAGCGTGCCTGACAGATTACTGCTACTGTCCATATGCCAGTTCATCTGTCTGACACTGGATTTCTAACTGGCTCTCCTGTTTGCGTGTTGCCACTTAGCACAGTTAGACACAATATTCTCATTTAAGTGTCAGTTTGACTATTTTTAACATGCTCTAGTTCGAAAAGTGAAAAAACAGGACACAGATTTCAAATGACACAAACTGAGGATTCTGTTTATATCACAGATGAAGCATGACCCGTAAAATGCTGCAGAAATCATATCATACCGTCATTGTTTAGCTTTTTGAGACAAAGCTGCTCCACTTTGATATCTTTTTTTTTTATTTCAAAAACAGAACATTTAAGGATTTTGAGCTTTTAAATGGGAAATTGTTGGATTATCCCACTGCCTGCATGTGCTTTTAAATCGTACTAACCGTATTTAGCATCGTGCACAAGAGGTTTTTCTGACTTGATGCATTGCAGTAGATCATTTTTAGCATGTCATGTGTCCCACTGGCATCGATTGACATCAAAAAAAGTTGTCTCAGAAAACCCTTTTAGCCAAGATAGTTGGAATCGTTGCGCTCTCTCTCTCTCTTCCACTAAAAACTGAGCTTAGTGCATGTTTAGTCTACGCAAAGGATTTATCCACTGCAAGCACACGTAATCTGTAAATCCATGGCTATAAAAGCTCTACCAGGCAGATGTTTATCCCCCGACAATAGAAACTGCTGCAACTGCTGATGATCGTCGTCAGGGATTATACCTGCGTCTGTGAGTTCAACGTAGGTGGACTTCTGGAATGAATAATGTGGGGAAATTAATATTTTAAAGCTTCCCATGTAGACTAACATCAGCCAATATTAGTGGATTGAAAGAAGAAGATTTATGTAAATGTTTCATCCAGTTTTTTTTTTTTTCCAGAGTGATATAGGCTGGACTGAGCTGGCAGGAGCTGTATCAAGCATAATCTATGGAGGAAGGGTGTATTTGCTCAGCAGCAGATGAAACAGTTCCATTATCCATAAAAATGATGAGTCCTTCCTCAGGTTGTATTTTTGGCTTCCTACAGAGACGAGCTGAGGTGAATCATTTTGCCTCAGCGGACCCTCAGTCTGAACGTCTGATGTTTTTTTATTGAGTAGTGGCCTGGAAGTCATGCTGGATTTTACATTCAGCTTTCAGGGCTAATGGGATGCAAATGAGGGGATTTTGAGCTGTGCCCCAGCTACTTCCGCCGTCTTGTCCGCGGGCGTCAACCGTGTGGGTGCGCTTGTACTCCACTCAGTCTTCTTCTTTTTTTGCGCTCCTCGTCTCGTCCTCCTCCACACTTTGACGGTGTATCATTAATGGTAAAGTCTTGTGCGAGCTTTCTTTAACTCGAGATTAAAAGACCGAAGCAAAAGTCCGCTGTTGTTTCAGGTTGCAGCTCTGTAGAGAACGGACAGAGAGAGAGTGAAAACCTTGTTCGCAGATAATGAGATCGCACTGTTCAATTAAGCCTGAAGTTGTTCTGCTCGACGTCCAAATTCCCTCTCACGGATCCAACAACATCAGAGAAAATCTCTAATTTACAAGCACAAACACAGGCCAGCCACTGCATTGTGTATTGACTGTGTGGATTCGATGCAAATGCTGAAAGCTTACACACGGCGAGGCTCTAAATGGGATGTAAATGTCATTTTCCACTAAACTGGGGATGAAAATATCAATGGAAGGTTCAGCGAGTAGGCTTTAGGTGGATCTCTGGGCAGAAATGGAATGTAATATTCATGATTATATTTTCATTAGTGCTGAATCACCAGACAGTAACAATCGTTGGGTATTCATTAGCTTAGAGAGAGCCATTTATATCTGCAGAGGGTCTTCTTCCATGATGTCCTCTGTGCTTCTACAGCAGCCTGGAAAGGACAAACCAAACATTAGGTGGCTGGAACTCACAGGGTGTTGCAACGAGTGCAGGGAAACTGTGGCGCATAGTGGTGCCTGGATGTAACTCTAGATCCATGAGCACGAGGGAAATAAAGCAATGAAGGGTTGATGTTAGAATATAGGGTGGCGTTAGAAGGAAGAAGACTGCAACTGAACGCTGAAGACATAAGGAGGGTAAAATAAAATGCTGCTTGTTGTCCTCTCGAAGTTTAAGCAATCAACGTTTGTCTTCTCTGAGTTTAAGAAATCAGTGTCAAGACCAGCAGTTTTTCAGCTCAAGTACCAACCTGGAGTTTTTTTCTCCCTTGAAAATGTCCCTGAAAGCGGTTCCAAAAGGGCAGTTTTTGTGGTCGGAACAAGCTCAAGCATTGGAAAACGGCCTTTTGGCTTGAGAGAGTTTTCAGCAGCCACCGTAGATTCTCTTACACGCTTGGAAGGACGAGGTGAGGGGTATTTATTAGGTTTCCGTCTGTGACATCACTGCTAAAAGGCCAGTAAATCCTACAGACTGCTCCTTTAAAGGAAGCTTGACCAAGTTAGACCTCTCAACATTTCTTGTTGGTTTGATCACCACATCCCTCTCAGGAGCATCTGTTTACTGATGCAGACGTTTGAACCTCTAATGCTGTTTTAATCATTTCTCTGTTGCTTATTTTGCCCTTCATCTCTTACCTTTAACACCATCAGCCTTTCATCCATTACCTATTGTTAGTAACTGCTATTATTTCAGCTGTTTTCTTATTTTATCCCTTACTGTTTAAAGCTGTTTAACCACACTTTAAGGCAGCTGTTTTAGTCATTTCTCCATTTAGCAAACAAGCCGCGTGCTCGTTAATGTACACTCCCTACACATGTTCATTTGCTCCAGACGGCTCCGTATAAGGATCCCTATTTCCTTAAGCTCCAGTTTTAATTGCGGGATTGTCAAACTACTGGAGCTTTTATGTGTAGATGTGCAGATGTACAAATGCACCCAGCTGGAGACAAACTGCAGGAGTTCGTTATGGAGAACGTAGTGTGTGTTTGCAAAATCCACATATTTTGATGAATCCATTATTTGGGTAAAAAGTTAAACGCTACAGTTTAAACGGCACCATCTCTCGCTTAATTGACAGACTTCACATGTCTCTCAGTCACGACTCGACTACGTTAGAACATGATTTTGACTCATTGCCTGCCACGACGCTAAAGCAAGAAGACACTGAGACCTTCCGCGAGCGTAAAAACGCCACGCCGTGACAAGCGTCACAGTGTGGTGGCTGTCATGTCGTGTAAACTTTCTAGCTGCTGCCCAGGGCTCCTGACATTTATACCAAAAGCTGCTGTTGCTGATTCACAAATAAGCCCAGCGATTATGTTGCGTGTGAACTGTAGTACATTCTCAATGCAATTAAAGACCCTATTTAAGGGATGTTTTCTCTGTTTCTGTTTCCACTTCTTCCTTTGAGATGACAGTGTAATTTATGTAAGCAAGAAACAGTTTGTATGCATCCCACGCAGCCCCGACAAAGACAGCTCTACAAAGTCACATTTTATTGTGTCTTATGGTGTCAAGTGAAAGCTTTTATTCAGCAAAGTCAATCAAACTGAAGGCCAGGCACCAAAGTTTAAAACCGGGAGTAAGTGACAATTGTATCTGTGAGTTAACCCATATGGGACTCCGTGTCTGTCAACACGTCCAGTTTTCTTCGTCGTAATATTTCTCTTTTACTTCTTTTGCTGATCCAGGCCCCGCTCAGAAGATGCCGGCCACTGCCACAGCCTTGGACTTCTTCCAGCTCTTCGTCCCGGACAACTGCATCCAAAACATGGTCACCCAGACCAACATGTACGCCAAGAAATTTCAGGAGCGCTTCGGCTCGGACGAGGGCTGGCGTCCCGTCACCGCCCAGGAGATGAAGGCGTTCCTGGGCTTCGTCACCTCCACCAGCGTGCACCGCTGCGAGTCGGTGCTCAGCATCTGGAGCTCGGGCTTCTTCAGCAACCGGAGCATCGCCCTGAAGATGAGCCAGGCGCGTTTCGAGAAGATCCTCAAGTACTTCCACATCGTGGCTTTCCGGCCGTCGCAGGGGAGCAACCAGGGCCTCTACAAGATCCAGCCCTTCCTGGACTCGCTGCAGCAGTCGTTCAGCTGCACCTTCAGACCCTCGCAGACACAGGTGTGTACAGAACTGCAGCTTGTGATAGTTTTTGATCACTAGGTGCAACCTTATACATACATACATGCATATCTGATTCTCTCACCTACTTCACCAAACTGCAGCATCAGCAGTATGTTTCAGTGGATATTGTGCTTTCTATTAGCTGACACCAGAACCCTCTTGTTTTCAGGGGTTTGCACACTATAACAGCACAGTTGGCATTAATATAAGATCTCATTACCTGCCTCGTGATCCATGAAATGTGAGAAATCTTTTAGCAACTTTCACAGTTTTCTCCATGCTTAATGGTTGTCAGTGTAGACAGTATTTCACTAATTGCCCAGCTACTCTGTAAAGCCAAAATGTAAAGAAATTACCTTGAAGCAGGTTGAAATAGCCCCTCATAGGAGTCTGAGTTTGGAAACCATCTGCACAGCAAGTATCTGGGAAAGTGCTCGTTTTTTAACAGCAGACTTCAACTTGTTTTCACTGTATGCATTAGATCCACATTTATGCAACTGGGGCAGTGGAGCGCCAGCCTTACTTCTCTATTTTAGGTGGGTTGGACTTTTTTCCAACTCCTACAGCTCTTTACTTTTTTCTCTGGATGCATTGCTTCTTTTTTTTTTGCAAGGATCCACAAACGGCTTCAAATCAAACCAGTGCTTCCATATCGTTGTTGGGCTCTCGTCCAACTAGGTTTTTTGCATAATCTGTATGTGATGGCTAAAAAAAGAAAACAGTAAAGACGAAAAAAGGCACTGAGATCAGAGCATGCAATTTGCTTTTCATTCTCCACATTGTCTCAACTTTTGCAACAAGGATCGGTTTCTGATGAGAGGATGCAGCTTTGCTTCCACTTCATTCGAGGGTTTTTCCTCATTCAGCCAAACACTCTTCCGTAATAACAACAAACAAATTACACTTCATGTTTAGAAACTGGTCGGCAGGAGGGCGCCAGAGGTGGCTAATCATATTCTGGTGGCATATGTTGTCACCCCTGCAGCCACTGTCAAGCTCTTAAAAAATTAATGAAGTACTCTAAAGTCGTTGATTCATTTGCTTTTGGTGCGTCGGGCGCATGAGTGCTATAACATCATCGTCTTTGTGAAATATGATGCCGGCGCTGTGATGCATCGGGGAATACAGGCTCCCAGCAGCAATCCCCTCACATCTAATTGAGATTTGTAATTTTATTTCTTTGGTGAGTAACTGGTGTGCGGGTGAAATGTACTTTTATGCTAAAATTCGCCATCCACTGAGATCTGAAAATGATAAAACTGATACAATGAGGACAGACCGACCGTCAGACAGCGTGTGTGTGTGTGTATGTGTGTGTGTGTGTGTGTGTGTGTGGTTTGCAGTGACAGGAAATATGTGTATCTAGGCCAGTTTGTTTTATCTGTTCGTTTTCGGTGCCAGGGGCAGAGATTGGTCCCAGATAGCGAGAGTGGCACAGACTGAAACTGTTGCTCCACAGACAATGGAAAACTAATCTGCTCATTTAGTGACTAGGCCTGTCACATTATTGCATAATCACCTGATGGCTGTTATTGGAGCTGACTGCGATCGCTTTGCATAATCGTTTTCATTAACCAGCTTGTAAACAGTCGCACGAAGCAGGAATGTCATATTTCAATCACCGTTTCCCCCCGTTATTTTCCGTTTCCCTTTTTCTGCTGCGATTTATTGCCACCGACCTCGAAGCTCTTAACTTCTAACGTTCGATCGACTGCATTTTGATGAGCATCTGTTGACATTAACATCACAATTAATTGTGAAGCTGCAGGCAAGCTGTGAGACCAATAGAGTTGATTTGTTGGGTGTGCAACAAGTCGAAGGTCTCAATATCGCTAAAATAGAAACAACAGAGGCATAAAATGAAGCCCAAAAAAACCTAAATGTTCATTTCAGTCATTTGTATGATAATTAATCGTCAACCAAGACTTCATGATCAGAAAAAGCCCGTTAGTGACTAATAATGTGAGAATGAAGGAATAAAATTGATGCAAAAAAATCACAATTTGACTTATCAATTAACCTGTTGTTTGTTTTACAGATTAATAAATGGATTATTTGATCTATAAAATGTCCAACAATAGTAAAAACTCTTAATAAGCCCAATTTAGTCCTGCAAATATCCTCATTTTAGAGGCAGTAAAAAGAAAAATGTCAGATATTTTTGCATTAAAAATGACTATTTTGATCCTCAAAACAGTAGCTGGTACATTTGCGCTGATCAACTAAGTAATTTATCCACAAATCACTTCAGCGAACAATAGGAGGAAGACGTGTTAACGCTAAACATGTGAGTCTCCGTGACTTGGAATTATCTCCCTCTTATTATTATTCATCATGTTTGTGTAAGCCACTGTGTGAACATGAGCGCTAACTTGCTAATAACATCGTGTTGGATATTAGCATTTTCAGTGTCAGTCTGGCAGTTTCGCAGTCGCTAAGATGATCTGTTCACACGGCTTCGTATTGATTAGCAAGTGCAAAATCTTTAAGAGTGCTTGTCGCGGGCCTCGACAAATGATCCCCGTAAGACAGTCGGCAGATAGATGGATTTTCCTCCGATGCAGGATGAACCAACCCATGCAAATGATGTGCTTCGAGCATACATGTACAAATGTGGCCACCTTGTTTTCAGCGGTTAGAATAAACCAAAGAGAACTGCAGTAACTTCCACTGTGCCCATTTGTTTAAGCTACAGGATGAAATATTTCATCAAAGACCATTGTGGTGAGGTGATGTCATCCACACAAAGGCGAGATAACCTTATTAATGATCAACGGGCATTATCCATAACTCAATATTTGACTAGGAAATGACTTGTTGCTATCTGTGCTGCAGCAGCACCGAGCTGCTGGTCACCCCTCACCTCCACTTCAGTCAAATCAGGGGTAGACACCGCAGGAAGAGAAATTTAAAATTCAAATATTTGCTGGGTGTTAATACATCTGCTTGTGTGGGTTTGATATCGTGAAAGTGTGCCAGTTTTTTGTTTTTGATCTGACCCGCAGCTGACTAAGAGAGCGAGCAGACCTGGGAAATAATAAATATACAAGCGGAAGGTGGCACAGTTCATCGAACTGAACTCTACGCATCGTGTTCAGCATTTTGTAAAAAAAATGCCTCCTTGAACCACATTAAGAAGAAGCTGCACTGGTGTCTTGGGGGAAACAACAATCCAAAATTCAAAAAAATGTGTGGGAAGTAAAGGAACGTTTTTTTTTTTTTTTTATGCATGTAAGAAGGAGGAACAAGCGATGTTTATGTAATCACTCATTATCCCATCATCAGAATCGCCACCGATCATTTTCCACCAGTTGCCTTATTGATTAACTGACTAATTGCTTCAGCCTCCTCTGTGTTGAAGCGCTCGTTTTATAGGTGGAGAATCATAAAAAATTCAACCGTGAGTCTCTGTTATATTTTTATGTGTGTTTAAATTTTAATCAATTCCCACCACATGCTTTGCAGATGGCAGAATGGCAGTTTTTTTGTGATTATTTCCCTGTCGCAGATTTATTTTTTCCTTTTTAGCCCCAGGGCCTATTGAATTTACTGTTTAAAGAAGTAATCACGTCTTTTTTTATATAAATGTATGACTTAAGACAAAGTTACAGCCATGCTTTGTATATTTTGATGCTTTTTTTTGTCTCTTTTGGTCAGAATACATGAGGGATTAGTTAAGGACAATGCACCAACAATAGACACGACAGAAAAAAAGAAGCGAAGCTGGTAAGGGAGGCATTGTTCAGAAGGGTTTTGCCGATGAAGCTGCACAGCTGAGAGCATGTTTCTGCTGAGAACAGTGTTTTTTTTTTTCCTAACTCACAGTATCACAAACACATACACGACTTGTGAGGATCTTCGATTGGCTGTGTTCTCCCTCTAACCCTGAGCTGTAATGTTACATCATTCACAATCTCACTCCTCACACAGAAAGCCTTGTTAAGGCCGGCTATTTTTCCCAGTAACACCTTTTGTACTTGTAACATGGTTACATAAAAAAAAAAAGAAAAGAAAAAAAATCCACTAAGACGAGTGTGCGGCATCGCTACATGTGTGTCTCCAGGTTCTTCACGAGCCCTTGATAGACGAGGACCCGGTGTTCATCACCACCTGCACGGAAAGAGAGCTGAGGAAGAGGAAGAAGAGGAAGTTCAGCCTCTGGGTTCGACAGTGCACCTCCACTGGATTCATCTGTCAGGTAGCCACACGTTTCTCAATAGGAGCCTGTTATATTGCTGCATTTAAGGTGAAAGATGGCAAATATCATCCAGCAGCGATCAGGAACACAAATGTTTCAGGTCGAGTGTGAGTTCAGCAGGAAGCAAGAGGGAGCGAAGAGATGAAAGTGAATAAAAATCAAAAAAATAACGAGTGTGTGTGTGTCTGCTTTGATTCTATTTTAATTTGCTGCTTTCAAACTTCACGGCAGAAATCTAATATTTTACATCAAAAATGCAAGACTGAACACTCCAGTCTGCCTGAAGTCAAGTCGAGAAGGCTTTCATGAAAACATCGGAGACTTTGATCTTCGCAAAAAATGTTCAAATCTCATTCTCAGGTTGTTGATGTTGCATCATTTTGCATTCAGCCTATTGCTTGTGCAAACTAAAAAAAAAGAAGCAAATCACTTTTCTGTTTTTATGCATCTGTGGGCTTTACATGCAGAAAATTGCGACGTTTGATATTAAAAATTGATCAGACTAATCTTGACATGAGCCTTCTGGGTAAAAGTATTGATTGTCAGTTTTTTTTCTTTTGATGTTGGAGAATGAAATAGCGACTGGTTCGGTGTTAGATCTGTGCTGTCACAGAGCTGCTCCGCTGACTAACAAATGCTACCCTTACTGCAACCTTCCACTCCTACACCGGTTGCTTATGTAACGCCACCGTTTCAGCCCAGCCCTGCAGGGGAAGTGACAGACCTGTTTAACTCTGGCCATTACAGAGGTCATTACAAAGGATGGAGAAATTAGGAGCCACATTTATCAAACTATTTTTATTTTATTTGTGCCGCATGCTGTCCAACGTGATTCTTTCTGAAATGCAGCTTGTTTTTGAACATTGTGCAGGTTTTCCATTTAGCCGCCCACACAGGCAGGCTCCCACCAGCATTAGTATTGGTATACTTGATAGGATGCATAATGCATTTACCCCCAATGACAGCTTGCTATGGTTTCATGCTTTTCAAGTTTGGAGGAGTCTCTCTCTCTCTCTGAGACTTCTGCTCCCTCGATGGAGGTGACTGGAATTTTGCTAAAGTGATGAAACAGGGCATTAAAAATTCAACATCAACACATCTTTCCGGAAACAGTGTCCTAGTTCCTCAGACGTATCACTGTTGTCAGAGGGAGGGTTGGAAGAAGGACCAAGTTTCCAGATGATAAAACTGAGATTTTTTATTTACTTTTTTGGGTTCAGGAGGTTATCTGCATGGTCTATGTTACCACCAACTCTTTAAACTATATCATAAAGTTCCTACACCTTTTGTTTTGTTGATTAAAGTATAAAAGGTATTTCTTGTTCCTTAAGTATTCTAGGAACCTCAACCCTTACCCTAACCAATGAGGACTGGGGTCTTTAGCTCAAAGTAGTACCAAGAAAGAAGGAGACCACAAACACACACACTTACAGTCGGGTCTGTAAATCCTTGGACAATGACACAATGTGCATAAACTAGCACGGTGGATTTGAATTAATACAATCAAAATGTGATTCTAGTGAAGACTTTCAGCTTTAATTTAAGGGCTTTTACAGATGAACCGTTATGCCATTTTTTTTACTCAGTTCCTCAATTCTCACAGACTCAAAAGAAATCGGACAACCTAATATAAGTATAAAAATAAGGATTATTTTTAATCCTTGGATGCAAATCCTTTGCCGTCGATGATTGCCTGAAAGTGTGCGACTCATGGACTTCACCAAATGCTGAGCTTCTGTTCTTGAGATGCCAGGCCTTTACTGTCGTCAACTTCAGCTGCTGCCTGTTTGTGGGTCTTCCTGCCTTCAGTTTAGTCAGTGAAAAGCAGCTCAGTTGGGCTGTGTGATGTGGCGTCCCTGGAGAATAAACAAGATGTCACCTGGCTGACAAATTTATTAGAAAACAGTACGCAGGATGAAGACAAAGTCAAAGAAGTGCCTCATGGGACGTAAACACGTTTAATATTTGATTCAGATAAAGGAAAAAAAAAAACCCCCATAAAACCTCTGGAAGGACAGCTGAGGACGGACAGAGAGACGTGGAATAAATACAAAAATAGCAGATTTATAGTATCCCGATGAGAAAATCACAGATTATAAACACATAAAGAAAATGACAGCTTCCAGATGTCACCAAACGGATATCTACCATGAAGACAAAGGAGTTGGACTACACAAACACACACGAGGCAAAACTCAAACACACCATTTGGACATTTCTAAACTCGAACACTTGATACAGTAACATGCACCCAGTCTCACACTCACATTACAAACAGAGTGATTTCTTGTTCATGTTTGAAACCGCACTCTGCAGCTTTGTGTAGATGTTTTGTGTTTTTTTTCTTGATGTGGGGTTTCAGCGTAAAATGACACGGCGTCTCTGCACAGTGTAAATGCACAGAGATCATAAGGCATCAAATAACACACGAAAAGCAAAAACTGCATAGCGTATCACATGAAATGACGTAAAAAACTGACTCCATTGGGTGATATCCGGCTGGAGAGTGAGCTACTGAAACATGTTAACCAGACTATAGGAGTAATTGGGCGAAATGCACAGGAATACAACATTGTAAATAAAAGGCCTTTTGCAGCACAGAATCCATAAATAGATTAATGTCAGGCATACGCCTTCATACACTGGCTGCAGGGGAAGTGTTTCCCTCTTTAGCCTGGATGTATGCCAGAGGAGCATTAGTGGATGGAAGAACAACCCCATCAGAATATTAATATGTCCTTTTTTTTTTTTTTTTTTGGAGTTGAATTGGTTTATATGGAATAATTAATCCAACCATTCATATATTTTCCTATAATCCCACATTTCCTGTGTAGAATAATGTGCAAGAAGTCTCACAGAGTCTGTCATCTGTAGCCATCATCCGTGATCCCATCCATTTAGCATCAGCACAGTCACGGCGACTGCAGCCATTTGGCAGTCGCTCGGTCTTTACCAGTCTGACGTGGGCCTCCACTGAGATCTTCTGCGTCTAAATGAATTGTGTCAAGGGGGAGAAAAGAAAAAAAAAAAAGAAAAAAATCTAAGAAATAAAATGAGTTAATGGAGCAAATCAATGAGATTCCATTAGCCAGCGCACCACACGCAGATACACAAAGAGCCACACACACACACAGACGTATGGACACTTGAACACCACTTAGTCTAATAGCTGTGGGTCCAACGTAGATGCCGGCTAATCAGGCTAATGCCGTTTATCAGCAGCAGAAAGCTGCAAAAAAGGGACACAGGACTGTTTGTGGGCGAAACATTTCTGACTGTTGGTGCTTGACAGTTCTTTGGAAGATGAAAGCTGCATCGTGTTTATTTTGAGACTTCCAGTGTCTTCATGTAGCAGCGAGTTGAGCTAAGATCCTGAAGAACGCATCTCAACAACTACACTTAGGACAATTTGAGCCTGATTAAAGCATCTAAACTTATCAGATTATGAGGACCTTCTTGTTCTCCGGAGGATTTAAACACTTTATCAGCTTTTTTTGCACCAATATTGCACCATAATGTCTTATATTTTCCCCTCTATCGTTGGAGGGCCTTTGTATGACTTTGTTAAAGCATCAACAGCAGACAGACAGAAGAGAGGAAGAAATGACACACAGCAAATGGGAAGCTGTGGTTGATAGTCGGTGCATTAACGATTTAAACCACAACCAGTTTATGGGCACTTTTTGCTGGTGTTACATTTTTACTCACTGTGGGTTCATTTTTCACTTCAATATAAAGTCCTGCACCTGTTTGGAAACAAGGTTATGATGCTGTACATGTTTTGAGGAGAAAAAAAGCAAATCCAAAGTTGAATTTCTTTACTTATTTATTCTACAGCAATTTAAAAAAAAAAAAGGGAATCCATATGTCAATTTTTCCAATTGTTCACAAGTGTTCCAATGAGAAAAAATTGAGAAAAAAATGACGGCTCTACATACAATAGATATTTTACTACATACATTTTTTTTCCCATCCTTGTCTCATATCTACTCTTCAGCGTGCAGTTCAGCCCAGTTTTCAGACAAAGGTTTCTGTCTCGTGACTCTTGGCTGCACCTGATCCAGTTTCCGGTTGTGCTCATTTTTAAATGAGAAATGTAGAAAAAAACACATTTATGATGACATGTTGTGATGTTAGGTTTAGATTTTGTTTACCAATGAAACAGCATGTCACAGCAAAGTTGAAAGTCAGATGATTATTTTTTATTTTTACAGTTTTAGGCTCTTATATTTGGTAGAATTTGGGAAATCTCTTGATAACAACTTGCCTTTCAAACTCACTGGAGAGTTTTGAGGTTCAGAGGGTTAAATTTCTGCACAATTTAGCCACAAATCATGCTAACTTTGCAAAACAACGTAATCTCAAGGTAAGATGTACAAGCTCTCTACAGCTTTCAGAACTAACAGAACTTTTCCTTTGGTCATTTCTAAAACTTGTCTCTGAATGCCACTGAAACTGAGAGAGTCACAGTGGCCACATTAGTAGGAAATGCACCAAATTAAAAGGCACCAAAATATTCCTTTATGCCCCAAGGATGCTTCACAATGTCATATTCAAACACCACATATTTTATTTTCCAGTCTGCACATTACTGATTGAATTCCTGCATTCTTGAGTCCAAGTAGATTTTGATTTGAGCAACTCTCTGGTCTTTTCTTTCGCCTCTTAAAGCCTCTGCTGAGAGAAAGTGAAAATCCTCAGGGTCACGTTTGATCCATGACACCATTTTGAGAACACTGTAGCCTCTAGAGGATCGCTGGATTTTCTAACCTAACGACAATAAAATGGTGAAAAAATAGAAAAAACCAAACTATGTTTGCTGGTTTTACATCCATGTTATCTCCATTTCCTGTCTCCATCCGCCCAACCCTGCAGATCTCGGTCCACCTAAAGGATTGCCAGGGTACGGATGGTTTGGCCACCTTGAAGAACAAACCTCAGCTCCACAGCCTCGTGGCCAAGCAGCTGTGCCAGAACATCTCCGGCAGGAACACCATCATCTTCACCGGGCCGTCCATCACGAGCCTCAGCCTCTTCTCTGAATTCAGCAAACAAGGTGCACAGAACAAGTTGCAGCAGCAGATATTCACTGGTCCTCCTCCTCCTCTGTCATCTCTTGTCATCTCCTTCTCCCTCGTTTTTCTGATTTGTTGTAGAAATTGTAATCTCGTTCCTCATCTCCGTCGCTCCCCCCTCCTCCTGTTTTGCATTTTTTATTTGTCTATTTATTTTTAATGATAGTATGATGATAGCGTCCCCGGGCTAAAAAGCACGGAGAGGACGACGGGCTGTTCCATTTCAGCTTCAGATGAGAAATGTCATTTTCTGTTTTTTTTTGCTCGAGCATTTTTGCCCAAACATGCCCTTATTGTGTTTTATTTAACATTTCAACCCTGAAATCACATTTTCTTGTAGCAAATCTATTCATCTCTTTTTAATCCAAATCAATGAGGTGCAAGAATGCCGTAGGTTCAAGTGTTAGTTTCTGAGCAGCTTTATTCTGCTTCATTACTAAATGTTTACACTCATGACTTGAAAATCTCTTCACCAAGCAGGAATTATTCCACTGT